GCCATCTTTCTCATCGTAAAACACAACAAGAGTGTGGTCCTGTCCTTTCTGCCTCCACAAAACCCGTTTCCCGTTCCCTCCGAAATACACCCCCCTTACAACATCAGCGTACGTTCCTTTGACCTGGCCAGTCATTTGCTCTCGTTGGAGAGCAAGATCTCTGAATTGTGGCTAATTTTACTTGCTAGATTTCGCCTCAGCCCCTAGTTGACCCCTTGTTGGTTCAGGGAAAGCGCACGAGAAGATGGACATGGTTATCCTGAAGGTTCAGTCCAAGAACCTGCAAAAGAAGGTCAACTTCTTGAGACAAAGCCTCAAGGCTAGTCCAACGCTTTTACCCGATCGTGGTGAGTTCATTAAATGCCTTGTCGACAATCGTTTTGTCAAGAAATCTCTCCTTTGTAATTTCCAAAGAAATTCCCTCAAGGTCACCGTCTTCGCCCAATCACCGATGTTTCCGAAGCCAACAGCGTTGGCTTCAGACATCACCCACTCCTTGGCAACATCTCGAAGACAAGAAATGGAAAATCCCACCTGACTATCTTCAGCGACAAGGGTGGTAGAGCAATAGCTTTGTATCTCGACAATCCATACAAGCAAAGGTTCTCCTTTCTTCCCGTTGTAAGTGAACGGCGATTTCATCTTTACCTTTTCTTTTCTCTTCGACTTCTCTCATTCTTCTTCTTTCTTTGAGGGTTCCGTTTTGGAAGATTCCAATTCTTTGGGTTCGCGAGATTTCATGGCATCCTTTATCAGTTTCTCTTGGGGTCCTTTCTTTCCTTCTTCTCCCTCTTCTTGCACCACCTTGTTCTTTCCTTTCACCAATTTGGTCACCGTCAAGAGTTATGCGGTGACGTAATCAATTTTGGTTTCCAAGTGTGCAAGATAGGTCATCATATTCTTCATTACAAACGCCAAGTCAGTTTCCGAACCAATGTTTATTCTCTGTTTGATTTCTTCTACCTTTATTGCCTGCTGCCCTTTCTCTTTCCCTTGTCTCTGATAGGTTTCCTTCTACATAACTATTAAAGGAAGGATAGGGCCCCATAAGACGCTTCCCCTGAGCCCAAGGAAAATGAGGCCCGCATGTCAGTTAGATGGGACAAATGTAGAGCCCTGTTTCATAGGATTTTTTCCTTTTGGGCGGCGAGCCTGCCCGTTAGTACGTTTTTTGTTGGGGGGCGCTTGGTACAGTTGGTGTCGTCGTGGCTTTATGAACAGAGTTCCTTTTCATTGCGGGTTTGTTTCGCGCCTCGCCATCGATTGCAGAAAGTGTTGTCTTGCAGGTGTCGGGCAGATTTTGCTCATCCCATGGATAGAAGTAGCGTGAGGCCAGCCGCAAGTTTGGGGACTTGATTGTTTCCTCTCTCTCTCTCTCTCTCTCTCTCTCTCACACACACACACACACACACACACACACACACACACACACACACGTGTAGTAGTGTATATTTCCATGTTCTAGCGAAAGATTCATTCGATTTCGCTCATCCTATGTATGAAGTAGCGTGAGGCCAGCCTCAAGGTTGGGGACTTACCTGTT